AATCTGATCAGGATCCATGCTGTTCGCTTATCAAATCTACAACAAGTGGAAAAACTGATAGCGAACAGCATGGATCCTGATCATATCATTATGTTGGTTTTGTCATGACACGGCTCAAATGCTTTCATGTTTCTGGTTAATATTTCTCAATAACCTATTCAGTTATTGTTTTGTAGTTTTTAACGCTCATTTCAAACAGTTGAAGAAAATACATGATGATTTTAGAAAAAAACATCTTCTTCTTAGCACGTGTCTAAAGACCGGAAACAGAAAAAGTCTGAATTTTCCATTCAGTTTATTTAGTTCAAAATTGTTCAATATACATGTTTTAACTGCAGAAAATTTAAATTTTGAAGTTGAAGTTATTTGAAACTTGTTATTTATAACAGGCAGACACAATTGAATTTAGTGTTTGTTGATAAAATTAACATTCAAATAAACAAATCACGTGAATTAAATGAATATATTAAATTCAAATTCATCATAAAAATGTAAAATAATTTAATTTATACCATAAATAAGTGCAGTCTAAGGACACACATGATATTCAAAACATGTTTCATCTCCGTTTACGTATACAATTATACTCGTATATAGGAAGTTACAAAATTGATATTTACAGTTGCCAGTTTGTCCTGAAGTAAACTTAGAATTTCGTCATCGAAGATAAACAGAATTAACCCTTAGTCTGCTGAATCTTTTAAATAAAATAAATAGAATTGTTCATCTTCCTTTTTATTTACTTTTTTAGTTATTGTTGTTTTTATATTAAAATTCTGAATATACTCAATATGCCGTGCATACACATTATCTTCCTTTCCTCTTTGAATATATCATTGCTTGTTATTGTAAAATGAAAATGATTTAATGGGAAAAAGTGGAATTACACGAGCTTCAAGAAAATAAAGCACATTTCATGAACAATGAATTATGATATAGTTTACTTTCACCAAGTGTTTTATTTATTTGATTTATTTTTAAATTACATATTCTGTAACGTTTCAATATTCTATTTTTTTCGGAGTAACAGTGGTGTTTTACTTTATTTAGTATATATTAAGAAATATCAAAAGAAAGTAGTAAAAAAATAGTTTTGAAAATTTGTCATTCACCAATTAAAAAAGTCATTCTCATGTCTTCATCTTTAACGTATTAGACATGTCAGTGGAAATGACCTGTCATATTAACTCAATTATTAGGTTATGTTAATAAAATAAATCAGGGCCAGGTAATCGTACAAAATAGAAAATAATGCCAAAGTTTACTATGCAATTAAGCACACATTTGATAGATTTTAATGTTTTATCCTCTTGTAAATACTGCAAGTCCTGCTTTCGAAATAGAATATAGTGAAATAAACTCTTACTTTACGAAACGAAAATGTATCTGTTTCGGCGGCATATAATATTAGACTCATTTGATGTAGTCAAATATGAACAATAAATCAAATTCATTGTTTTATGCTTGGTTGTTTATTGTAATATATTGCTATATTGTTTCTTCTATTTTAATATTATTCGTTCAGTTGTTGTCAGTAGTAAAAAACAATCAATTCATACACTTATTCAGTTATATAATAAACGCAGACGAAAATAAATTATGACTCACTAATAAAAAAGAAGTATAATTACTTTATATGAAGCTAGTCATTCTTCTTAATTACAAAAAATGTGTATAGACGGCTTTATTATAAACAATATAAACTGTATAATATTTTAAAACTGTGGTCTTTCCATATCATCAAACTTCTCTCCCTTTTTTAATTTCATGGGTAAAACATCAATCAATCAATAATCTATCATCAACAATTACTGTACATTTATATACATAATCCCTATTAACCCATTATAAAGGCTATCTGCTTTGAAACAGATTCCTCTATTTGTTACATTTGTTTGATATAATTGTAAGTTTTATTCACCCAGCCTACCTATGAACGCTTTATATTTCATCGACTTTCTACAGATAATGTTGATCACTTAGGAAAAGGATTTGGTGTTAACTTAACTGATCAATACGTATAAACTTACTAAAAAGTCAAATAATATTTTTTCCTATTTCAGCTAAGTGATCATCGACTTATGTGGTGAATATTTAAATTTCCTGAGAATTAAACACACAACCATTACAATAAATATATGTTATCCGGAACTCGGCAAATGTGGGGTTTGCCAGGCTAAGCAAACCTTTTACCGTTGTAGCTTCACGGTGCACTACCGATCGCAATAGTCAACCTGTCGCACTTATTTTTGAAGCAGTAATTGTAAACAGTTTTTTTACCTGGGAAAACCCAAAATATACTTTATTCCGGAGTAAGTCTATTTATCAAATATATAGACCTGCTTTAAATAAATTAAGAAAACGCCATTTTTACGGAACATGTAATTGTTATAATAATATATTGTCTTATCAATCTGTTTTGAATCTTAAGAAGTTATGAGCGCAATCACCATTCAATTTTGAAAGAAAATAATCTTATATGATCAATACATAAACTTGCCAGCATGTAATTACTTGGTGGTGCTCTCATGGAATTAAACTTGAAAATATATGCCGGAACAATTACATGCATTGTCACCATTATGTTTTCAATGACTGCATTGTATTTTATATTTTAAGAAAGGGAAAGGTAAAATAGGGTGGACAGCATTTATTTCAGATGGTATGGATGTGAAACCATATGAGAGTTACGAGTGTTTACGAGTGTATGATAAAGTATTCATAAGAAAAATCATGTTATTATATACGTTTAATGAGCAATTACTCAGGTTTGGTTTAATACATGATAACATAACATAGGTATTGTGAGTATATATAAATATGCATGTATATATACTTGTGTCAAAAGCAGCTACTTATATCAAAGCTACATGTAAATTTATCAGTCAGTAAATATTACATGTCATAAGCAATATACATATTATAAAACAATATATACAAATTGCTTAAAGACATTTACATTATCATTCGGAAGTAAAAATGGTATAAAAACGAATCTATATTACATGTGCAAGATTTGTGCTAAACATAGTCAGGTATAGCTAAAAATTAAATAACATTGACTATATTTCAAAATATTATCTAAAAAAACCTGTTACAGGTGGCCATACTTCTGTCCAAGAGAGGCTTTTTAAACAAAAGCATTCTCTTATTCGAAAGTACATTTCGAAACATCTTATTGATTTAACATCTGTTCATGAGTCTCTAAAATTACAAAGAAAATATCATTTAAAAAATAAAATGCCCATAAAACATAACAGTCAATTATTTTTGTTTTAAAATGGAAAAAATGTAATGTAATTTGGTGCAAAATCAAGCCTTGGTCTCTAAAAATATGCAACCATGTTTCTTTCTTAGAAAACCATCCGTATAATGTGTTACTATTCGTATATCGAAGGAAATACGTGTATGATTAAGATACGAGTCGCGTCACGACAAAACCAACATAGTGCGTTTGCGACCAGCATGGATCCAAACCAGCCTGATAAGGATCCATGCTGTTCGTTATCAGTTCTCTTCTTGTAATAGGGTTGGTTAGCGAACATCGTGGATCCTGATCAGACTGCGAGGATGCGCAGGCTGGTCTAGATCCATGCTGGTCGCAAACCCATTATGTTGGTTTTCTCATGGCCCGGCTCAATTATTAATCTTTCAGATCCGGAAACAAATTGAAATATTTTAATCTTAAATCTTAAATATTTTACAGATACAAATTCAAGTTTAACAGTTGGATTTCGCCATTATAAAGTGACAAACTCAAAAGTTCATTACAAAAACAAAATACAATACACAAAGGTCAAAACCAATTAGACTATAAACTGCACACATTTTATTTTTATTTTGAAAGATGTAATTTGTTATACTCATGACAAAAATATTTTCATCTAAAACATTAAGACCAATTTTACTTTCCATACACATGCACACAAATATATCAGACCAAACAGGAATATTCATTTTATATCTCAACAATTATATTGTCTTATTTTTCTTCAGTTTGAAAGTAATAATAAACACACTTGCTTGATATAACACAATCTATCACTCGACTCTCATTAAGTCTTATTATGCAAAATAGGTAACACATGAATTATTATGTCCGAATTATCCTCTTCTTCATATCTATTTTTGTCACCATGTCGACAGAGAATAATTAATGCATCAACAGAAGACAGCCAGCATGTAATAAATTGCAAGATATGCCCATGATGGCCTTATACTTTGACATTCAAGTCACGCGCTTAGTTTAAATTCGGTGTTTAGCAATACAACACTTGCTTACAAGTGGTTTTTTGTCCTTTTAGCGCTCTTCTACTCAATCAACATTCTACCGCATCAGGAAAAATAAGAGAACATTTATAGATCCATAATGGTGCAAACTTATATTCAATTTGTCTATAATGTTTGCAATGGAACTGTCAAGTTTTCTTTTATCGTGTTTATTACAGAACGGCAAATTAAAACATTTAAGCTTTAATGCCTACTTCGAACAATCACTCATGTCAATTTTGAAATCAAATAAATTGCAAATGAGGCAATTAAATGTCTTTTGATTTCAAATTAATGTCAATTACATATTAGCATTTTTATCTCCATCCGCATCATTTGTTAAATTTAACTGCAAGCTTAGCGCCTATATTCGCTATACAGTTGCATGTTATTTCCCTCTTCAGATATCCACTGATACCTGATCCATAAATCATGTTGCTTTTATCCAATATAGACGGTGATGTTCCGTATTTAAATACCTAATTATTTCTAGCTGTCATAATAGTGTTACACATTAGACATGTCTTATGCAAGCTTTCATGACATTTTCTCCTATCGTTCACTTTGAAATGTAACTTTATTAAAATACATGTCAAAAGAAATTTCCTTTATAACACAGTTAGTGTGTATATAAAATGTTATTCAGGAATATTCAAATACATTTACTTTAATAAAAAAGAACTACTTTTCTGGAACATGGATTCATATAATTACACCATTAACTTTTTCGGTCATAAAATGTTGTCGATGTCACTAGGAAGTCCTTTATCACGCAATCCCATTTTAAGAAGATCTTTCACTGTCTCACTTAATTTATCATTTAATAAACCAGATTTGACCTTCGATTTGTTCAATATATCCGACTTATTTTCCAGGATATCTTTAGCAAAAGATAATTTTGATCCTCCAATATCAGCAGAATACACAACACTTTCCGTTGTCGTTTTGATGGTTTCTAAATATGGTTTTGTTGCCCCGGTCTGTGTTACAGTTCCAATAGACGTACTGACTGACTGTTCCTTCAGAGAAACGCTTTTGGAGCTCCTAGGATTTTCTGCTATAAGGATACTTGCCGTGGTTCCAGTAACTGGTGTTTCCGTTTTGTTAGTTACGTTTTGATTTAAAGTTCTTTTACTGTTATCTGAGATATTGACAATGCTTCTTGTTGTTATATCTTGTAATGTATGGACACTAGGTTTCGTTGAAATTTCAGTAAAAATATGAACCATAGTGCTCGCTGTAAATTTTTTAGAGTTAAATGCAGTCGTTGTTGTTGCAATTTCATTGTTGCCTAATTGAGTTGTTGTTTCAGTGGATAAAGGCGTTGATGTTGACAACGCTTCTTTTTGTGTTGATTTCGAAATTTCAAGTTTTTCGTTAGCATTTGTATCTTCAATTCCTTGATCAGAATTATTCAAAAGTGTTTTGTTTTTAGCTGTTAACGAGATACCTTTTATGGCAGATGTTTTAGGACTATCGATAGTTGTTGTATCTTTAAACAATTTGTATTTCTCAATGTTAGTTTCAGGTAAGGTTGTGGATGTTGTTAAAATTCCTTCTTTTGATTCCAGCAAAATGGCATTTACACTTTGTTTTGTTGTAGGTGGACTAGCGATACTTTGTTTGACATTTTCTACAGATGTCTCTGAAAGTCGTTGCTGTTGCGTGATTTCATTCGACATAACTGTCTGAACTGTAGACATCTCAAGCTTAGTAGTTTTTGGTAAGTCGTGACTCACAGTAATCGCCTGTGACATATTTAGTAGCGGTACATTAGTTTGAGACGATACGTTTATATTACTTGTTGATATAATGTCACCAGTTGATTTATATTTGCCCGCCGCAGATTCTGTAGATATTTGTTTTTTATTTATTTCATTGTTGTTATTTGATCCAGATGGGCTTATCTTATCTGGTGATTGTTTATTGAATTCTGTTGTTTTTCTTATTTCAGTTAATATTGCATCACTTTTTGTATTTGTTGTTGATGTTGTCTCTAAACCAGTTGTTACACTTGCCCCAGAAAAACTTTCTGTTGTCCGGTCATTATTCAAATGTTCAACTGATGGTGTTGTTAATTTCGCAGGTTGAGTAATTTCATCTTGAGTGTTAGATGCTTTATTTCCTTTTAAATTTGGCCCATCAATATCTAAATTGATTTTATCTGAAGGTATTGTTGTTATGAATGATCCAGCTGTAGTTTTCTGGTCATAAATATGCGACGATTTATATATTTCCTTCGTTGAAAGGTATGAAGTTGATGGTTTGGCTAAAGTAGATGATTCAATTGTCATTAAATTGGTACTTTTAATTGAGTTTTCTCTTTCATTTGTAATGATATTGTTTTGATCATTAGGTTTTGCTGTAGTTGTACTATTTGACAATTGATCTTGATCTGTTTTTCCAATAAAATTGCTATTTCCAGGGTTTTGAGATATTGTGGTCGGCACGGTTGTTGATACTATGCTTTTATGATGTGTGGTGCTTTCAGTTCTAGTTTGTTCTGTGGTTGAAACGGATTCTACTTCTATTGCTTTCTCTATAAGTTGCAATAAATTTGGTTTATCTGCTACATTGATAATATTTGTTTTCTGAGTGTAAAGACTGTTTTCAACTGGGGTATTCGGCTCTTTATTATATTGTTGTTCAGGCAAACTTGTTGTTGTTTGTTTAATGAATGAAAGTTTCGATGGCACTTTTAATGTTGATTCCTGTTTGATATGAACCGTTGGTTTTGTAACAAGTGTATTTGTCTCCGATTGTATCTTTGGATATGTTATTGCTGACTTTGTAGTTGAAAATAATTTTGGTGATGCTGACGTTACGTTTGATTGAACAGTTTGATGTTGTGTACTTGTTTTTGTCTCAGTTTGTGACATTAAAATAGTTGATGGTACATTACCACCCGTTGACAAAGGGCTTGACGAAGATGATATTTTATCCGAAGGTATTGTTGATTTTTCTGTACTTTTTACCTCTGGCTCTGATAAGTTCATGTTAGCCCCAGGTGAAATTCTAGAAACGGTTGTGTTTACACTTTGAACCGGTATGATACTTGTAGAATCTTTCTGAGATGCCAATGTTGTCGTCTCCATAACTCTGTTTTTCTGTTTTGTAGGAGTGGGATTATCATTAGTATTCAAATCCAACTCGTTGGTGTGTACTGCTGTTGTTGTTGTTGTTATTGTTGTTGTTTCTGAGTATGAAGATGAAACGATGGGTTTTTCGGTTGACCGTGTGCTCGTTTGGTCTGTAATTGGATATGTAGACGTAATTATCCCGTTTGTTCTTTCAGAAATATTCATAGATGATTTAGTTATTGCATTTGTATAATTGTTTTGGACATTTGTAATTGTTGGTTGTGTGCTCTGTTCTGAACTATTGGCAGCCGGTGCTTTTTTGTTTAGCTCACCAGGTGGACAGTTCAATATAACTTTTGGCTTAATTGTATCGCCAACTCTTTCGATCGTGTCTGGTAAAACTGTTTTCTTCTCTTCATCCGTTTGTTTTTCTTTTAAGAAGATACCAGCTAAAGCCTGTGCCAGTTTCGACTTGTCAAAAGCAGACACTGGTTTCTTTTTTTCTTTCTCATATGTATCTTTGACTTCTACAATTTGTCCGGCATCAATAATATTATCTTTGTCGACTTTTTTCTCACAGAAAAAACCTTCACAGTTACTTGGGCACTCGCAGTACCACGTGCAATCCTTTCCTTTTTCTCTACATTTTCCTTCATTTTTACACCATGTGTGGAATATTTTACAAGGGGAGACGCATCTCTTAGAAGGTGTTTTATTAGCTGCCTGTTTCTGTTCAAGAGATTTCCACATATTTAAACAATTGACATAACTAACGTAATCTATGATTAAAACAAAAAGCAGAAAATAGGTTTTTGACACTGACGTAAAAGTTTTCATTTTCCTCGTGTTATTGTCTGCAAATGTCACCATTGCACAGTTTAAATATTTCAACGTTATCCGACAGAAATGCTATAAAGAGTGTTGTTCATATAAAAGACATCTATGAATTGTTCAATTACTCTAGAATTGTACTGAAATAATATATCCATAACAAGTGTTCACATCTTTTAAAGCAAGTAAGTAAGGAGTGATCTTAAATACTCCGAATAATAATCACAAAATATAATATAATATATCCCTCTATGTCAGTTGTTACCGCTGCGGTATAATGTTGACAAAACCTTCTTTGAAATGAACAAAACGTTTATATATGTGTTATGTGTATATTTGACAAGCGGAATGACAAATTGCCTGTCGCCCCGAGATTTGTTAGGCCTGTAGTTTAAAACATGAATTTATAGGGACAACTGATGGATGTACGATCATATATGATATCCGGGCCTTGATTTTTAAATATCTTATCCTAAATATCTTTCTTAAATCTCATATAATACGCCTTAACATTCTTTTAACCATCTAAATAAAAAAATTAAAAGAAATTGTTTCACACAGGTGTAGACATTTGTAACATTTTCTCTGAGGCCAGTGTAAAAATAATGTTGCTTGCTGTTTCCTTTACTTACATTTTGAGGATTAACAGTACTTAATTTGTTTTATAGTTGAATATATCTGTCACTTATTTTATAAAATAATGTTCCAATACACATCTATACTCATGTCTTGTCGGAAGATAAAAGAAGAATTTCTACAGAAATATTGTCCCCGAAAAATTATATGTTCTATTAACAAGAGATACCTGATTAAAAATCTATTTGATGGAAATCAAGGTCGATCAAAAGAAAGAAATAACAACGACAAAGATACAGCTGCAATAAAATATTCATTTTATCTTTGGCCAATGTGTAAAAGGAACAAAAATATAGTTTATGTAACGCACAAGAATTAATCATTGTATTATAAAATTTCGTTTAAAAGGTAAAAAGCATCAACATTTTAAAAATGATGTATTAAGATTTTTGTTTTTCTCAATTTATAAATATTTCGGTGAGATTTATTTATTTAATAAAAACATAAATGGCGCAACGTCTGTAAACATGCTCATAAATATATCAATGAAGCTGTTTTATAATATAAGTATGACAATTATTTTAAAATACATGCAAGGAGTTCATAATGTCAAACCTGGTACCATTTCAAACTTTAGCGTAATTTTATAAGCGAAAAAAAATCATGTTAATATGTTCATGGCATTCAGATAACATTTTCCCTACATGATATGCTGCTCTTTACTAGTGATTTTCTTCCAGTCGAACCGAGTAGTATACGCCTATATAATATATTAGTTTTAGGTAAATCAAAGATAAAGTAACATACTGTAAATTAATATCAAGTTCAATTATATTTCATTTTAATTGGTGACTGAATCTCAGTTCAATATATTAATTGCATAAAACATGTAACATATTTATAGCAAACAATACATGAAATACAACGGAAATGTATGGGTTTTACGTATGTTTATACAATAGTTATTGTCAAAGGTTTTTATTTGTTTGGGTCGTCAGACCAAACAAATAATGGTAGCGAAATTTCAGAGTCTAATGCTGTTAATTGCAAATGCCGAAAGTAGTCCACTTTTTTGAAGCGGTTACTTCCCTTTATATGTACACTAACGTCGAAAAATTCAGGGGAGATCACTGCGTAAAGATGGTCAAAGACAGGCACATTAATTTTCATGCAAAATAATTCCCGAATGGTCGAAGATTTCTAATATTGTTTTATTTATTTTCTGATCGAAAATAAGTAAATACAAAGCGGACATTCAATCTCTGACACAGAAGTTTACGACAAGCCTAACAACAAGTAGTTCTCAAAACAGCTTAAAACTAGCGATTTAAAAGAAAGAAATATTTTTATTTTGTTACAAGTATCCAACAAATTACAACGCATTCAAAGTTTAAAAATAGCGTTGGCTTATAGAATTGTCAATAAATGCACAATCACAAATTACGCGGATGAATATGATTTTATCAATGAAAATACTATTTTTAGCGATGTCGATTACCGAATACTACACAAATCGAGTAGTGGAATATATAGATTCTACATCTCGGACTGTTTGGGCGAGAAGATTTTCGCTAAATTATTCGCTTCAATTTTAAACAACAGGTTTATCCTGAACAAAATACCTCGAAATTAATAAGGATTACAAACCCGAAATGCAATGGTAGTTCTAAATTAAGAATGACCCAATAATATTCAGACATTGTTTGTATAACTTCTCCGTGGTTCAGGGGTAACGCGCTCGCTTAGTGAATGAGAGGTCTGGAGTTCAAATCCCAGTCGAGGAAACTTTTTTTTTAAATTCTTTTTTAAGTGTCTTTGTTAAGGAAGTAGCCATGATATGCAAGGATAAAGTGTAGCTGTCGTAAAAAATGAACATAAATCATATTTTGATGCAACTCTAGTTATGCAGAATTCCGTATGTATCAAACTCAAAATACATAAAAATAAACTTACACAGGTAAATACATACAGATATGCAGTACGATTTAGATTGCAAAGATCAGAAAATACCACAGAACTTGCATCCCTTTGATTCTTTATAAATATACATGCTTATAGTAAGCTCCAGGATTATTTACATTTGTGTTAAACAACAGTTAAAGTCGTTACAAGCCCTGGTTTAGAATAATATGGTTTTCTTCAGGCCGTTCACATATAAATTCACCGTGGCTGAGGGTTTTCGCGCTCGCTTATATAGGAAGCGAGAGGTCTGGAGTTCAAATCCCAGTAAAGGCAACTAATTTTTTTCAAATTGTTTAAGTCAAATAAACATTGGATTGAATATCAGTGTTGCAATTAGTCTTATAGCCAATTTACTACAATTAAAACGCTAGAAAGCATTGGTGGCACTATACATATAATCTCACAACCTGTACCTTTCTGACATTCTGAGACCCAAACAAATTCAGCGCCTTCTGTGCTTTGATTCTGAAGAGCTTATTAATATTGGAGAATGTTTGTTAGTTTCTCAGAAGATTAGCATAATATATAAAATTACATAGATTCTGTTAGTTTCACTTAACAAGTTAACTGCTTTTACAGAATATAATTAATATGTCTAAGTAAATTGTGTGAGTGAAAACGGGGTATATTTACGTCAGAACATAACTCTGAGTTAAGAGAGTTCATAACCGTAGTCAAATTCATATTCAATATCTACAGTAAACCTTTTGTTTTAATGGGATTGTTTTGAAATACATATGCATCATTTCTGTGGGTATGATTCTTTGAAATATTTCATTTCCTCAGTTTTAAGACTTTATTATTTCATCAATGATACCAATATATTATGGTATAATGCAATGAATGCATTGTGTTGACGGTTCATTAACATAATTATGGACAGAATCGTAATTTGTCATAAATATCGTACTATATTTATAATAAACCTTTTATGTTTGAACATTAAATGCCACCTCAGTCTTGCGTTTTATAAGACATTTAATGTTTTACTTTTTGATTGATCTCATTAAATTAAAAAATGTCGTAACGCCCGCGTTAATTTATTGAAATTAAGATTAATTGATAGATAGTGTAGTAATAACATCTTTATTAAAATAAATAAAAAATGAACTTTTGAAATTAAAAACAGCGTTGCCTCAAATTGCAATTAAATGCACAACTTAACTTTATACACTGACGGAAAGAGCACGCGACCCTAAATCGTGAAGGTCATATCAATGATGTTGTTTGTGTTTTTGTTTTTTTTTGGCCTACGCAGATTGTTCATATGCGAGAATTTATAGCAAACAGGCGTTTTGTAAGAATTCTATTCCTTTTTTTGTCTTTAAATGGGCATTATATAACACTTTCTTAAAAGTTTCATACTTAACATGTTTTATATATATCATAAAATCGTCCGACTGCTGTTTACTATTTTTGTATATTTTCGTTATAAATTTATAATATTATAAATGTCAAACGCAATATACTCAGACTCAAAATCATTTATACAAAATGATGTGATGTTAAAATTAATCTTAAGCTAAAATATAATCATATTAACGGTGAAAATCCGCTTTGGTTTACGGAGATAGTCGCGAATAAACACGACCTAATTGGCTTAATTTACAAACACACGTCATAGACAATGCTTCCGTCAGCGATTTCTAATCGTCGTGTCGCAAACATGGATACTTATGTTGTTTTTTTTTTTAATATTTTTGCTTGAAATAACGCTTTCCGAAAAGCACGAAAAAGTTATAAACACGGTTTCATGGAAAACTGAGGTTTGTGCCTTTAAATGCAGAATTATTGGTGTTTCGTTCTGTAATGATTGCATAATAGCTTGCTGATGTGATCTTTCCCTGTGTTAAAATCAGCCTATTGATTCTATATGTGCCTTACAACTACAGGGAATGCGACAGAATGTGAAAATCTTTTCAAACTGCGCGAATATGAAGACTCATGCATATCAGGGGGTAAATAAGTCTGTCCAGTGACGAAACGTTTCTGTCTTTGCTTTATAGACTGAACGATTATTGACCATGTCCAAAATACCTTAAAAAATTGATCATATACAGGGTATCTTGCTAATAAAATCCATTTCAGAAAATTCCGTGGAAAAGAAGAAAGAAATAAGAAATACGCAAATGAAAGCTCGTGAAAGCGCAGACATACATGTTTATATAAAAATATTTTTCACCCTCGTTGAATTGAGCCACAGCTGTTGAACATTTGAAAAGTAATATGATAAGGAAAAATATTACCCGCAAATTTTACCAGCATTTTTGACAGTTTATTTTGCCATCGGCTATTCATAACGGTACTGATGTGCGTAACGTTGAACGTCGATTAGCCTATACGTACGTAATAGTACAAAACGTACGTTCAATTATTACACA